CCCAGGTTTTGTTCATTTGTTTGCAGAAAAAGGTACAAATGGATGTAGGAAAATGTCACTTGTTTCAAGCCCTAGCCAGTATTTCCATTTACTTTACTCTGAAATCTCCCAAAGAGGTCAACTTCCAAAAGCAAATATAGAGCATTTAATCATAAATCACAATCTGAAATACAACATATATTTGAAAAGCTTATTCTTTTATCTTATTACAGAGTGGAACTTTTGCAAGATAAATAGAATATATTTTTGAATATGATATTTAATCAGTATAACATTCTTTTTTTTCAGTCAAAATTAATTTAGCTATATTTTTATTGGAATGAAATGTGCCGAATGCGGAATAGAAAACAAAATACATTTAGGTCTCAATGAACTTCCAACATGGCTTTCTCTAATAGTTGCATAGAAAAGAAAAAGAAAGCTATACAAAGGCTTGTTTTCTTGAAACACCATCTGTTATTTTTGTTTTGAGTTAAGCTCAGTGCTCTAAAGGTTATGAGTTCTGTGCAGTAATTAGCACCATTATGGGAAATGTTGTTACTTCTAGGTATTGGACGTCCCCAATTATACAAGTATAAAATTCCAAAACGATCTCTATTATCAGAGCTGTGACTAAATTTCTTGCTTGCACTATATCAGTAAAGTAATAATGCATTGTCAATTTGCTCACTCTAAAATGCAAATAAAGATGAGCTTGTTTTGCATATTTTCCACCCTAATTGTTTTCTTTATGTCACATATATAGAGACTTCCAAGAAAGCAGTCAAGTCACTATCAAATATCTATAAATTCTATTGATTTCTCTCTACATTAGGGAAATTAGTTTTCTTATAATTAGTAAAAAAATTCAATTCCTTTCCCCAAAGGAAAGTCAACAAATTTCAAGTATCTCTGTATACTGTAAAAGTATTAATACATGTTTTGTACATCATTTTCCTCCTGTTCTTTGGGAACAGTGGTCCAGAAATTATTAATTGCATAGCATTTGGTTATTCATATTTTATATGGAAGTTATATGTGTTCTTTAACTCACAATTAAAATGACAATTTCAAAATTAATGGTCCTCAAGCATTGCTCTCAAAATATTTTTAAAAATTTAAACTTGAAACAAACCAGAAAAGAAACTACTTATACATAGGCAAAGCACACTCAAATTAGGGTTTTTGTCCTGACTGTGAATTTCAAGAAAGTAGACAGTCACTGAAAAGGCAGTGAGTGGTCCAGCCTGGGGTCCGGCACTGGTCTGACCATGAGCTTCAGCAGGGCCAGTGCTACGGCTCTGGTTGCTCTGGTCAGTGTCAGGGATTGCCATCTGGTTAATTCACCTACTGATGATGATAACTAATTTAAGGGTGCACGTGGTATGTACTGAATGCTTTACATGAATTAACTCATTCACTTATGACAGCAAACTCCTTACAGTAGGTACATTATTATCTGCATTTCACAGGTGAGGAAAAGGAAATAACACACTCTGTGGTCCTGGGGAAGTAAGTGGCAGAACTGAACCAAGCTGGTCTTAAGTCTGTGCTGCCAACTCCTACCCAAAGAAGGCAGTCAGCACCTGAGGTTTGCCTTATGACCATCTTAAATAGTAAACTTCATGGCAGAAGAACAGTGCGTAAACAAGGGCTCAGTCTCTACAATAATGACAAGTCGTTTGATGGCACTTGCTCTGTGCTGAGCACTTTACATATATCAGTTAATTTAATCTTCATAACACCTCAAAGAGTAAGGTACTCTTTGTAGTTTTACTTTATAGTTGTAGAAACTGAGACTCAAAGAGTTTAAATAGCTTGCCTACAACTGCGCTATAGTGGCAGAGGTAGGCTGAGAACTCAGGCAGTTTGATTCTCGATTCTGTGTTCTTTCCTGTTGTGGGATATTGTATCATACTTTGAAAATTTAAGACCTTAAGTGATTTATAAAGAAAATTCAGCTTATGGGAGCCAAGTTTAGGAAAAGGAGGAGAAAACATGTAAAGCAACTTTTAAAATTAAAATTCAATAGAAATGGAAGAAATATGTATTAAAAAATCAATGGCAATAATACATGGGCATTCTACAATTTAATTCACAGTTACCATCTTGATGGTACTTGTTATAGGTTGAATTGTGTCCCCCCAAATTCCTGTGTTACACATTTAACCCTGAGTACCTCAGAATGTCACCTTTACTTAGAGATAGGGTCTTTACAGAGGTAATCAAATGAAAGTGAGCTTATTAGGGTGGGCCCTAATCCATTATGACTATTCTAAGAAGAGGAAATCTGGACATAGACATACATCAAGAAAGGACAATATGAAAGGATATCGAGAGAAGATAACTGTCTAGAAGCCAAAGGGAGTGGTGTGGAACATAGCTTTCCCTCAAGGCCCTCAGAAAGAAACCTGATAATGTCATTCCAGACTTCTAATCCCCAGAACTGTGAGGCCATACATTTCTTTTGTTTAAGCCTGGTATGGTGTTATAGCATCCCTAGAAAACTAAGATAATACTCTTCAATTCAAAATAGTAGGAAATAATTTAAAACAGCTTAGCCAGAAAATAGAATTTAAGAAAGGATACTGGGAACTTCATGGAATCCAGGAAAGCCTGGACAACCAGCCTTCAGTATACAGAGACCAGAGGGCACCAGAATTCAGGCAGCAGATCCAAATGTCATTATCCCTGTCTCACAGGCTACATCCCCTCTTGTTCTTGCATTTTATTGCACGTATGACTACACCAGAGCCTACAAGGGTACAGGTCCCCACAAACTAACAAATACTTACTAGTAAGTTTAAATCTCAATTTTAAACTCATAATCAGAATCTGATAGGCCTGATAAAGGTAGGTCAAGTATTTATCCCTATTTCAATCAGCTATGGCCAGGGAGGCAGGGCTACATACTATAAACATGGCATTTGGGAGTAGGGCCATATTGTGACTTTGCTGGGCTGTAGGTACTTTTGTTTTCATGGGCCTCATCATCTCTTAACAAATCATTAAAAGTTATATTTCATGACTTTATTGAAATAAAGATTATCACGTAGTAAAACATATTTTTTGATATAAACTTTTTTGATTCTGGTTTTAAAGAATTAAGACATTCCCACAACACTTTAAAAGTACTGGGCCCTAGGCACTGGACCTGATATGCCTAAAACGGCTTATTTGTGAAGTGGACTTTTTAGAGAAAGAGGGAATCTGTATGGATAGCTACACGTTCCTATAAGCTCCTAGACACAGCTGAGTATTTTCAAATACCTTTTCCAATACACAAGGCTATATTTTATCATCTATATCCATGATAACATCTCACTGAAGCATATACCACTAGTCCATCTTTCAAAAGTAAAATAAATCAAGAAGCCCACTTATTCACTAGGAAATACATATATTCTACCTTTAAGATGACATTTAATAATGGGTCAAAATGAACAACTGTAGAGGTGTGTTTTCTGTGATAGAGGCATGAAGAGGCTTCTAAGACTTAACCAACTTCTCTAATTATTATGTGCCACTTTAGAGTCCTTCCGTTTTTGCTGGCAATAATGATAGAAATAACAAAGCCAGGATGACAAGTGTACAGTTATTTTCCAAATTTCAAATCTAACAGGTAGAACATATGACATTGAATATGAGCATTACACCTAAATGACTATTTCATGGAGCTTTCAAGTGGGACTACCATCATGTAACTTGAAAAACCCAGTGAATCACACCTTTGGGAAAAAAATTGCAGTTCTTATAGACTTGCAGGTTCAAGAAATAGCAGTAGTTTCACAGAAATTGCATGGCTTGTTTTGAGAAATGAAATCAAACTAAGGCTCTGCAAAGTGCCACCAGAGCTGCACACTAGAGTCATTACATATGTTAGTAGGTATTGGTTATTCATCGCCATTTTAGGCTATATTCACAAATGTGTGTTGCATAACTGCCATTGTTGAGAACAAATGATCACGTTGTACAACAATGATATACTTATGAAAAGGCAAAGCAGAATTATCACTGGCTTGGGGACTCTGGAAACATGTTGGGTATGATAGTTAATCGTATGTGTCAACTTGAGAAGGCTACAAGGTGCCCAGATATTTTGTCTAGCATTTTTTGGGTGTGTCTGTGAGAGTGTTTTTGGATGAGAGTAACATTTGAATTGGTAGACTTAGTAAAGCAAATGTGGAAGTAGAGCCTCCCTAACATGGATGGCCCTCATCCAATCAGCTGGAAGCCAAATAGCACAAAAAGACTAATTCGTCCTTCAGTCAGAAGGAGCTGTTCCTGCCTGACTGCTTTGAGTTGGGACGTCAGTCTTTTATGGCCTTTGACTGGAACTAAAAATCAGCTCTTCTTGTGTCTTGGGCTTGCCACCTTTCAGACTGGAGCCACTCTATCAACTACACCATTGGCTATCCTAGGTCTCCAGGTTGCTGACTGCACATCTTGGGACTTCTCAGCTTCTGTAATCACATGAGTCAATTCCTTATATTAAATCTGTTTATATATAGATAGGTATATGTCTAATCTATCATCTATCTATATCCTATTGGTTCTGTTTCTCCGGAGAACCCTAATACAATGAGTACCTATTAAGTAAACCTCAGTCTAAGTCCCTGCCGTGTAACATATCAAATATTTACTTTTTATAATTAGGCCAAAGTGAAACTAGTACTTTGTAGGGTCTCCAGGTGATTTATTATAAGGAAAAAAAACCCAAACCAAAACAAAAACGACAACTTCCATGATCAGACATTTCAGAACAGAAGCCTTTGTTTCAGCCTAGTCATCCCATTTTGTAACTGAACTAGATAAGGTTTCAAACTAGTGAGCAGTAACACACTTCTGCATGGCGAATGGAGTACCCTGAAGTTGAAACTTACAGGGCAGCAGAGGAGGTGAGGGGAGGGAGGTGCACACTGAAGGTCTCGCCGGAAGCAACGCCCTCCTGCCTCACTTCCGGGGGAAGTGAGCACTGTGCTGTCAGAGGAGCGCCATTGTGCAGTGCACAGCCCATGGAGATGAACCCGTTAACCACGGTGAGACTGATTAGCAAGCTGAATGAGTGGGAGGCCAAAACAGGCGTGCCAGCTAAGGCATCATGGCACTCCGTGTACAAGGACAGTGCCTGGATCTTTGTGGGAGGGCTTCCGTGTGAACTGACCGAGGGAGATATCCTGTGTGTATTCTCCCAGTATGGGGAGATTGTCAACATTAATCTCGTGCGGGATAGGAAGTCAGCGAAGTCAAAAGGATTCTGTTTTATCTGCTATGAAGATCAGAGGAGTACAATTTTGGCTGTCGACAATTTTAATGGCATTAAAATCAGGGGAAGAACCATCCAAGTCAACCATGTATCTAACTATCGCCCCCCTCCGGTCTTTGAGGATGTGGATGGTGCCACCAAAGAGCTCTGGGAGCAGGGCTGTGGGCCGCAGACCCCATCGAGTTCATCTGAAAGTTGCGATGACAAAGCACTTTCCCAGCAGCAAAGACGAGGAAAACGGAGCAGAAATAAGATCAAAGGGAAGGCTGTACGAGTTAAAGACAAGTAGGGACCTACAGAGCTGCCATCTTCCTGAGGCCAAATTAAAAGGAAGGATACACTTCCTAAACATACCAAGGTGAGGTTAGACTCGAGAGAGGGCCAGAAGCCCTAACCCAACAGCTCTGATGCCAGAAAAGCTGCTGCAGGGGACAGTTTCCAGCAGGGCACAGAGGGGTCTGGAGAGGGTACTGAGGAAAGAGAATCCAGGGTCTGAGCCCAGCCCTTTATCAGAGGCGGGAGGGAGAAAGAGGCAGAAAGCTCAGAGGGACAGAGGTTGAAGTTCAAAGATGTTTTAGGTGATGGGAGATGCAGCTATACACATTTTCCAAGCCCGTGATGGCAGGTTGGACCAGGGCTGCTCAAATCCTCATATTTTCAAATCAAGTGTAGTATTTAAAATGCTATGGGCCAGAACTCGTTACTAATTTGATGATTTCTGTAAATAAAGTATCTGGGGCAGAATTTCCTTAAAGTCTGAAATGTTTTTTCTACAGTCATTCAAAATTTTGCAATAGTTGAAATGACATTATCCTGCCTAAATATTACCATTTTCTATGTGACGGGATTTGCAAAAGTTTAGAAGCACTGAACTAGATGATCTCTATAGTCATTATACTTCTAAGCTTCTCAGGCTATGATGGGAGAATTTCATCCAGTATGGAGGGGACTTGCTGCTATCATAGAATATTTCCAGTAAGTAATAAAAAATATTTAAAATATTTAGGTTCCTTCTGTATGATTTTATGCTTCAGTAGTAATAGAAGTTTTTATTTTTTTAAAATTTTTTGTAACAACTAACTAAATGATAAAAGGCAAAGGGTATTCTTATGGAAAGTAGTATCAGTAGAGGATTGGAAACTAATTATAGGGGATTGGAAAGAGTATTTCTGATGGCACATTCTTGCTGCTCTTCTTTACTTTATATATATATGTGTGTGTGTATGTGTGTGTGTGTGTGTGTGTGTGTGTGTGTATACATAAAATTTAAGAAAGCATGATGTTTTATTCTCTGCCACAAGAAGTTGTTTTATCTGCTAGGGGGCTTGGGATATGTAAAGTGATATAGCATAATTGGAAATGCAAAATATTTCCTGGATTCTGTTAGTATTTGATGTTTGATGAGTATTTCATTCCCATTTCTAATTTTGTATTCTGTATATGAACAGAATTGCATATATGAACTTACAAAGCTTGCTACTTAGGATGAAAACCTTAAGCTAATGTTTTGGAAATTGCCTGTCTATTTTAGGTAAGAAAAACCCCCATGATTCTAGTATCTTGAATTATTTTGAATATTGTGACTTTGGGCCAATCATTCTTTATATAAATATATTTGGCCTAAAGGTTTTCTTAGAAAACCTCTACTGTTTTGTACTAGTATATACAGAGGTTACTGGTTAAAAAAAGAAATGAGAGTATTGCTAATGAGCATTCACTCATCAGTGGAAATTTAGAGTAGGCATTTACTTTGGATTTTAAAGATCTTTATTTATTGTAATTTTTAAATAAAAGTAACTGAAAATAGGATAGTTATCAAAACTGTTTTCATTTTCTCATATTTATGTCCAGTGTTTGCTCTCATATACAAAGTTTCATGTCTTTCACATATTCATTTATTTAAGAAATATTAAATGTTTCTAATAAATAGTAGGTGCTATAATATAGTTGGGACTACAAAAAATGTATATGACATAATGTCTGACCAGGAGAGGTCATAATATAATGGAAGAGATGCACATGTAAATAGTTAAATTAAGAAGTATGTGAAGAGTGTGCTAGAATTGTAAAAGGAGTCCTTGGTGAGTGAGTGGAGCAAATGAGATGAGAAAAGAGATTACAGGCAGGGTTTCCAGTATGTGCAAGATCTAGGAGAGATGTAAGTAGTTCAGTGTAAGTGGGATCACAGGATATTGCACATAAAAATGAGAAAAAAGGATGTTCTTCATGCTATACTAGCTATTTGAACTTATCTGCCTTTGAAGGAGTCACTGATTTTTCAAGAGAAAATGGCATGAGGAGAAATATATTTCCAAAAAGAGCACATGGTGGAAAGGCAAGGATGAATTAGGCTGCAGAGGAACTGGAAGCAGAGAGATGAATAAGAAGACAATTGCAGTAGTTTAGAGAGATCATGAGGGCCTCAAGTGAGGCAGCTTAGTGCAGGAGACAAAGAGGAACTCAGGGTTTCCACAGATACTTAAGAGAGAATATTAGGAGAAAAGGGAGGACCCACAAATTTCTGACAAAGGAATGTAAGAAGAGGAGCAAGGTGTATGTGAAGTGTGAGTGAAGTACATGTGGTAGGGGAGGAGTGGAGGAATGGAGGGAGATTATAGAGAAGAGGGAGTTCACTTTGTTTCTTGTTGAAGTCAACCATAAAAACAACCATCAGGTTGACAGTGGCACAGAATTTAACAATTAGGAAATTATTGGAGACCTGAGTGTGAGCAGTTCACAAGATAAGTGAAGGAGAACACCATATAGCATAGCCCTGAGAGGTAAGCAGATATAAACAGCACTTCAAATATTGTCTTTTGCTTATTTTATATAACAGTATAGTACCCCTTTGCATAATTTCAGTAGATCAAAATATGCCGTATAATGAATATAGAATAGTAGACATGTAGAAGTATTTTCCCCCTGAAATAGTGCTTTGAGCATGTTCATGCATATGCTTATTTTGGTGCTTTTGTTTTTTTACATTATCTCCATAGGATAAATTCACAGGAGCTGAATCATTGGGTCAAAGAATATGAGTGCTTTTGGCTTTTTGGTTTTTCCAAGCCATTTATCATCATTTATACATATGGTATTAGGGAATGGAGTCAGTCAAAAATAATTTGATGAGTGAAATAAAATGACAAAATTCTGAACTGAAGTTCATAGCCTTGAAGAACATGCCTATATATACCAGTCATTTGGTTTAAGGCTAATGTGATTGTGGAGAAGTTGGGGTTCCTATGGCCAGGATCCTCCTTGAACTTAAACCACCTGAAGATATAACTGGCCTGTTGCTGGCCTACTGCTTCCACACCTTTAGGCAATAAGCTATTATTGTGCTACGTAGAGAGCCCATCCCAGTGCTCTGGGCCGAGCCAGAGGCACTAGTGCTCAACCCACGGCTGGGAGAGCAAGCCGGGTAATAAACCCTTTCATCCCAAAGAAAGTTTTGCTGTCAATTTCTTTGGTCACATTGAATCCATAGCAAACTTGGCCGGGTCTGAAGCCCATTGGTAAGACAGTGATTTTTCTCAAATATTATACATTCAAAATAAAGTTGGTCTAGAGCTAGTGAAACTCCCAGCAGATGTTGTTTCTTGACTTCATAATACTCTTGCATAATTACTTTTCATAATTCTCTTGACTTTATAATATGTAATCAACAAGGATGACACATTTATTCATTTATTTAATAAATATTTAATATTTCTAATAAATACTAGGTGCTGTAATATAGTTGGGAGTACATTTATCTTGCTATTTATTTTATTTATCTTGTTATTTAAAATTCTAATAGAAGGAAGCAAATACTTATCAATTCTCTAAGTTGAGAGTGAATTGTGTCATTTGAAGCTTCCTTTGTGGAGTCCTCAATGGCTGCCTACATCTCCTCACAGTAAACTGCCTCTGATTGAAAGAGTTAGCAGGTTACATTTGTGATGCTTTGTATTTATGTGGAGGAGTCCATTTATTGCCTAAAACATGTGACACTAAGTAACCATAGATTCAAAATTGAAGATAAGCCATAAGTTAAATAACAGTATCTTTTATCAAGATGATCACTTTATAGGAATACATAATTTTGGGTGAATCTTACATAAGATTCAGTAATTTGTGCTGACATAATTAACTTGCCTTGAGAGGCCTAATGTTGATTTTACTGTCTATTTTCCCTCAGTGTTTTTGCTTTTCATTTGTACAAGAGAAGAAGACACATGATACGAGTTTGGCCTAGGTGTCTGAATATGTCTCCTTAGGGAAGTTTTGATACAGCTGAAGTTATTGCTTTTTAGAGACCTTTTATTTTGAGCAGCTGCTTTAACAGCCTTCATCTTGTTACATCACATGAGATAAAATGTATCTCTATAGTAGGAAGAAAGCTATGACAGCAATACTGTGACTAAAACCTAAAATTGCAAAACCAGAAGCAGATGTGGATGTTCCTGAGGTTATATTTTTATAATATATGATAGATACACACTTTTCCTATCTACTCTTAAACCATTCCCAAAACCCCCACGGGGTTTTGTTTTGTCTCATTCACGTAGTCGAGCTCTTTGTTTGCCATAGACTATTGCTTTTTGGCTCAGTAATATGAATCCTTATCCAGAAGACATCTCGAAGGGCTCATCTAGAAAAAATAGATTTCAAGGCCTCACATTCTGAAGGACAATTCAGTGCTTGCTTTCCTTTTGTGCTCTTACATGCAAATAAAGAACCTGAGTTCATCAGCTGTTAATGTAATATAAGGGATAAATTATGCTTGTTTATCTAATTGTGCTTAGCCAAAGACCTAGGATGGAGACAGCCACAGATTTATTTGTGAGATGTGGCAAAAGTGGCTTTTCACCCGTAATACTTAAGTCAGCTGGAAGCATAGTTGATGGCATTGTCAACATCTTTTAAGCATTTTTCATGCCTTTGAATTTAGAAATTCATAGGTTCTATAAAAGCATCAGTAGCATACAAAAGTAACACATAGCATTCCAAACTACATTTACATAATTGCAGTGAATATGATTAATATCAATTACATTGATGCTTGTTTGACCCCTTATGTCTGATTGACTCAATTTAGTAGTTGGTATGTTGCTTTGTATATTCAAGAAATGGATCAGATTACCTTTTCATTTCAATTAAGGAACCAGTCAGAGAAAATACACTTTGATTTGTTGAAAGAAGTTGTCTTCAGTGACAATCTCCTTGGCCTTAAATTGAGCTGCAATGTATTTTTTGATGCTTTGCTTCTTTTGCTTCTTTTATTCTTTAATTGAAAGCCCATCTTTA